ACAAGCCCAAGCCCTAAACATCACATGGTTTTTGGGGCATGTATATTATTGGGCTCCTCAGGAATATTGCCCACTGGAAAAATATATATATATATATATGGTGTCCACTTGGGAAGCGAGTGCATCGAAGTTTGTGTCAGATGCAGCAAGTGTAGTCCACAGCTTTGCTTTGGTCAGGTCACCAACCCTAAACCCTAAGCCCTAAACCCTGAACCGTACTGCTACTTAAAGCGGAGTGGGTGAGTACATACAGGGTACTAGAGCAGGGGTTGAAATGTGGCCTGGTTTGATTATGGTTTAGGGTTTAGGGTTTAGGGTTGGTGAGTTTATCATGGTTTTCCTAGGAATATGGGTGCGTGTATATGTACATTTGGTGTCGAGTTTGGAGGACCGTACTTCAGTTCTTATTATATAGGGGGATCATAGACGGATACTTGGACGCACCCACCTGCTTCTTTTAAGGACCAGTGATATGATGTGATATGGTAGAAACATAGAAGTCCCTTCATTCATGTAATGCTCACACTAGTGGCTGGGGGCCTAACCAAATCCCAAACACCCTAAACCCTGAATCCTAAACACTTATCCCCCCAACCTAAACCCACACCCTAAAGCCTAAATCTCAAATCCTAAAACCTAAAGCCTAAGCCCTACTGAGCATTCTCATGGGTCTCAGGTTCTGGCCCCTACACGTGAGCTGGCCAGACAGATTCAGCAGGCTGGCACATGCGCATGGCGCCCTATACGTAGTTAAAGGGTTTAGGGTCTCAAAGGCAGGGGTCCTAGGGACCCCAAGGATGTCTGAGGATGATGATTATAGGGTTCCCGCTGAGCAATGATATGGAGACAGGGAAATGCCGAGATCACGACAGCAGACAGCAGGTAGTTTGGGGTTTTAAGGTTTAGGGTTTGGGGTTTAGGTTTAGGGTTCGGGGTTCAGGGAGGGTTTAGGGTTTGGGGGTTAGGGTTTAGGGTTTGGGGAAGTTGAGGGCTTGGAAACAGGCCAAAATCCCTAATGCTGACTGCATGTTGCGACGAGGGATAGTGTCCCACCCTAAACCTTGAACCCTAAACCCTAAACCCTAAGTCTTCTCTACAAACCAACCAGGGCATTTCCACCGCAGCCCCTAAACCCTAAACCCTACTCACGCTTTATCACCTTACGGGTCACGGACAATGTCTGACCCTGAGCCCGACAGCCGAAAACCTAAGCCCTAAACCCTAAGCCCTAAACCCTAAGCCCCAAACCCGCAGCCCTAAACTGCCCTAAACCCTAAACCCCTAAACCCTGGACCCAAAAACCCTAAACCTAAGCCTTGAACCCTACCATTAGACTCTATGCAGAGTTCTGCAGGTATGCGAGCGCTACGGATCGCACGGACCCCAGAAGCATCGCTTACCGGGATGGATTGTTAGAGAACAAAAGCCCCTTAGCCTACCCTTATAGGGTTAAGGGTTGAGGGTTTAAGGTTAGGGTTCAGGGTTTAGGAAGGTCCTAGGAAGAGGTTATTTTAAGCTCTAATACTCCATATCGGCGGAGCCAAGTAGGGTGGTTCCCTCGTAGGGACCCCTAGCCCAAGAATAGCCTAAACCCTAAACCCTGAACCTAAGAAACATCCCACAGCTGGACGACAGCTTGTGTTCGCAAGGGGTTTAGAGCTGCACCTTTTTTCAAGGGTTCAGAGTTGAGGGCCGAGAGCTTCGGGTTTAGCATCCTGCATGGGGTGATGCACCGCTTGTCATGTCTTTCAGGGGTGACTGGCATTTGCAGACACTTCGTCATGTTGATCTTCAAGGTGCTGTGCAAAAGCAGGCCATGCATTTTTCATTTCATGTATCCATGCTCTTTTCCATTTGATTTTGCATTGTTGGGGTAATGTCAGCCTCAGCCCTGTCCAATCCCTACATGAGCCTGGAGTAATCCCTATACAAGCTATATCATCCCTATGTGAACCTTGGATTTTCCCTATAGTAATCACGTACATCCTGTCATGGAAGATGGGGATGTTGGGCTTCCATAGGTAGTTCTGGCGAGCTTGCCATTTTGAATGAAGGGGACCTGAATCCCAAACCCTAAGCCCGAAACCGGGGGATTACAGGAGAACGGGCTTCAAGCCTTAGAATCATGGGTTCCCCGAGCACCGGCCCTGTTCAACATCCGGTTACCCGTTGATTACTTTGGGGGGGTCAGGGTTCAGGGTGTAGCTTTAATTACATTTTACTATCCTCAAACATGCCCAATGCCGTGGACATCCGTGAAGAACCCAGCATGATGTCCAGTTCAAATCATTTCAGGGCTGGATACTACCCTATGATTCCACTCATTACCCCCGTCCGTCCAATATTTCGGTGCAGTGCCCGAATTGTCACTTTTCTTAGAGTTTTGGGAAGGGAGACTCACGCGGAAAGGGATGTGAAAATGGAACGGGAACTGGGCCTTACAGGGACATATTGGATTCATCACGGTTAACTTATTCGTCGTTCGTAGCAAATGAAGGAATGGACCGAACATAGAAGCAACAAGATTTTCGGGGTTATATAGGGGCTATTATGGGGATCCAGTCCTCCAGGCCCTACTAGCGACCAGCAAGTCTTCATGTATCCATGTTGGAACTTTGAAGCTGGAGGCAGAAGGGATTGAAATCCTCTACGGTTGTCGGCGGCACTCCCTCACAAGCGCAGAAGGAGATGCTGCAGGACACGGCTGGTGGCACTGCCCATTACGAGCAGCAGCGGCAGCAGCAGCTGCGCGTGGCGGCGGTGGTGGTGGTGGTGCTGCTGCTGCTGGACGTATTATGGAGGTGGCGGAGGTGGAGGTGTTGGAGGCGGTAGAGGTGGTGGGAGGCGGTGGAGGCAGTGGTGGCAGTGGCGGTGGCGGTGGTGCTGCTATTGCTGCAGCTACTGTTGCGGCTACTGCTGCTATTGCTGCTGCTGCTACTGCTGCTGCTGCTGCTGCTGCTGCTGCTGTGTTTATTACAGTACTACAATGATTGTTATTACTACGATTATTAGTATTATTATTATTACTACTACTACTACTCCTACTTCTTGTAGTAGTAGTAGTAGTAGTAGTAGTGGTAGTACTACTACTACTACTACTACTACTACAATAGGAACACGTCTTATATTTGACGTGTTTTTCTTTACTTCACCATCGTTTTACAGTGTGTTTGGCGGCATCTACAGAAAACTTCAGGCACGGCAAATTCCGAAGGCTTAGCATCGAGACCTGGGTTTCGGGATGTGAGCGCAGGACTTTTAGCACTTTGCCCCCCCAGAATCTGCAAAAGTGCGGTTGCTTCCCTGGCCCGTGCCAGACACACTGCGGCGAGACATGGCTAACCTACTGGTCACTACAGCCAAAGATCACGAAACAACATGCTTCGCCGCTCCCCCAATTTGCACTTCTCAACATCTGGATTGTTCTGAAAAACGTGCTGAAAGTCCAACGCTGGCCACACAATCCGAAACGCATGCCTCGAAGCTAAGCGCAAACACATGCAAAACAATGGCGTCACATAAATGCTGCTCGGCAGTCTTGAAGACGGCTGGCGACAGTTCTGATGATGTGCCTTCTGCTGTGTAGCGCTCAGTTGCTCGGACCTCAGACATAGCGCGGAGTAAGGTATAACGACAACGACCTCCTACTACTACACCACTACTATCATTATTCTTAGTATAACTACGATTACTACTAATTACTACTAATTACTACTACTACTAC